TTTTGATTGTTCTTGCTGTCCTATAGACCAAAGAACAGATTCTTTTTTTCCTTCAAATTACATATTAACTAATCTTTATAAATAAAATTGAGGTTGATCATTATTATGTAAGTAACCATTAAATTTGAAGTATACCATCTAAAATCAGTTCATGTGCCACCAGTGGAATATATACCAGTTTAGAGGATGTTCCTCTATGCAATTTCCTATGGTTAATGATACATTAGAATTATTTCCTCCATTTAGAAGGAATGAAGAATGATTCGTGACAAATTTCATTTGGAACAAGTGATTCTGGGTTCTTCTATTTATCATGTTTCCTTACAATATGTCTGTTCCTAGTAGATTCTGTAATCTGTCTGGAAGAGAAAACAGATGAAGAACAGATAATTAGAGGTGTATTGAGGGTCACAAAGGAGAAACTCAAGGTGTTAAAAAAAAGTTCATAAGAGTCATGACTAATCTGGTCTGAGTTGGGGGACATAGGCAAAAGTCCTGAGCTGGGAATAAGCAGAGTACACTCTAGAAAATGACATTCATGCATAGGTTTCCATATGCTCTTTTCTCTATGTTATCTTCCCTGTTTTATTCACAACATGGAAAAAGAAACATTTTTAAGCATGTTCTCATGTAATCAATGTGGTATTATGCAATATTCTTTGTCGATTTTAACTTTTTGACATTTTTCTATACCATTACAAGTATCTTTACAGTTTTCTTAGTTTTATTTCTGTCTTTTCAAAAAAAATCCCTTCATTTTACCTTCACCCATAAAGAAAGTAAATATTATTTTTTACCAATATTATAAATGGAAAATGGAGTATTATATGGGTAAAAAATTTACCTGTAGTTACTCAGCTTGCATACTTTGCAAAGAGCACATGCATGACTGAGGTAGAGTGTAACACTTATATTTCAGTATTTATTTCATAACAAGCTACAGTATCTGCTAATTCCCCAGTACAAATACTGTTCCCCACTGTTGTCAGAAAGAATACAGTACAAATTAACATAACAGTTTATAAAAGCCCCAAATCCCAAGACTTCCATTTCTTAGAAATAAACAAACTTCCCTATTTAATTTTGTTCAGCAATTTAAGTTTCCAGAATTAAATTAATCAAGACTCCCACAAATTAAGTCAATGCATTCATTCTTCTGTGGTACATTTATGTATAAACAAACTAAATGATCCTCACCTCAAATATCAGAAGTAGTCTTCTCCTATAATTATGTACAACTTTTCTCTAAAAACAAGGATATTCTTGTTCCAAAGTTAAGAGGGACTAATTAATTTTCTTGGAATGGAAAGTACCAGCTATCCCAAATGACTCTGGAGATTCTACCACAGTTTTAGTGCTTGCAAGTGGTACATTTGTTTCAAATGCTGTCTTAAATAGAAATTTGTCTTTACCTAATATATGAGTAGTCAATTCAGGATATTTATGTGTTTATTCAGTATCATCACTTCCAAAGTGGGTTGGGTCCTATATCTACTGTTCCATAGACATTCTCCTTAAGGCTATGTCTTAACCTCTTATTAAGGGACATAGAGGTTACCTTTCAGAAAAAAAAATATCACTTTTGTCAGACTGCTAGAAATGAATTATGCAGCATTACTGAAAATCTCAGGGGAAAAGGAAGGCATAGAAATATAAAGTACAGGAAAAAGAAGTGATTGCTGTGATACAAGAGGAAAGAATTGCTATGTTTTGGTATCCCTTCCAATGGCTGTTTTGTGGAATCCTGACAACACAGAATGTACTGTGGTTTGGGAGAGGAAAGAGGTAACATTTCACTCTTTGTTTACTCTTTAGCTGCCTCATTCCAACTAAAACACAATTCTTTGCATAACATGTTCCCTTTTACTTCAGAGAAATTCCACATGGAATTCCAGACATGATGAAATAATGGCCTCATTCCTCTTTAGATCAAGAAAAGAGATCTGTACTTAGTCCTCTTCAGATCTTGAAGAAAAAGAGCTCTACTTCAAATGTGTGTTCGAAACATAGTTTATTGTATAATTATCTGATTTTATATTTTTTCTATCTTACCTAGAGGACTTTGAATTTATTAACTAATAAATATATTTTATGGAATTTAAAATTCTTAAATAAATTAGTTTAGTGTGCAATAAAAACAAATAAATTGCTTACACCAAAATCCAACATCAATTAATCCACTTGATATTTATTATACCTGCTACTTTGTAGGTGATGTGAATAATCTAAAATGACTTGACCTCCAGGAGGCTGGGTATATAAAGCATGTGACAAATATAGAAAATAATGAAGTGCTAAAAACCAGGTGAGACTCAGAAGAACTCAACAAAGTGAGAGGTGGATAGGCCTTTAAGGAGAAGTAACACTGAGAAAACACCAGGGGAAGTGATTAGTTTGGGTAAAGAAGATAATGAATTAAACTCTGTTGAAGATTGAAGAGAAAGCAATTACATTGTACTTCAATAGAGAAGTTTGCATGGTGAAAAGTAGCAGAATACAGCTGGGAAATTATGCCAACCAAAATCCACAAAAGAAGGAAGAGAATGGATTAAAAACAATAAGGAGCCATTGCCAAAAAAATTTTGAAAATATAAATGTACTAAACAAGTTGATAAAATTGGTTTATGTTTAAATTATGTTTAGTCATAATCTAAATTAGACTGACAATAGTATAGATTACTCTAATAGATTAAAATAAGGAATAAGAGAAAAAAATAGAAGATGAACTAGAGTTAGAGTAGGAGACCATTCAGTTGTCTGAAGAGTAATCTTAATAGGACTCTGCACTTCTGAATTTACATTTCATTCATATATATTGCTCATAGAGGAAATATATTGCTGAATTCTAAAATAGAATCTCAAGTTTAATATTTCTCCTCATCCTATGTATTTTGAAAATTGATCATTCTTTCCAGAAATATTAACAATTTGCTTCATATTTACTGTGTGATTCTTGGATACTTGGCATGGTTAAAAGAACCCTGGGAAATTTTACAAAATAGACACACATGAGCAATATATAGATAAGGTATAGAAAGCATATATGTAGACCACCCATCTTGTCCATCAGGAAACTGCTCCTTTAAGACTGAATGTGAATGTCACTATCTTAAGTAATTACCAAAAACCCTAGAAAGAATTGGCTACTTTTTATGAATTTCTTAATTTCACAATATTCTTTCTTCTACCATTTTAGTGATACTTATTGTTTCGTAGAATTTTTGTTTTTCTGATCCTCACTGGGTTTAACATTATTTAAGACCTACTCTGGCAGAATTAATTTCACAAATGGCACGTATCTTTTAGATTATAAGCACTTGCACATGAATATTATTGAATATTGCACATTTCAATAATTATTACTTTTTAAATAAAGGGTTAACAGGGAGAATAATGAATGTTATTTTGTTTCAAAAGATCACAATCCAAATGTTAGAAAAATTACATACATCTGAGGAGAAAAACTTCCATGTGTGAACATGTATGTATGCAAAGTAATTAGCACACTCCATGACACTATATGCTAGATAATTGATAATATTTTTAATGTGCAATATTTACATTCTTAGAAAAATAAACAATGAAGAAAGAATCAAAGTTGTGCCCAAGATAAGTGTCCAGGAAGAGTAGAGCATATAGGGAGGTCTAGATCATCAGTAGAAGGAAAGGATGCTATCTGTATATGAATATGAAATTCATTAGAGGTTTTCAAAGAACTAAGTGTGTTCTAAGTGGCATAGGAAGGCTCTAAGTATTAGTGAAGGGGGCAGTAAACATCTAGGACATGATCACAGCAAGGCTTAATGAAGGCACCAAGTTCATTACCCATACAAATGAGATACAGTATTGCCAATAATGTAACAAGGTAAATTTCATTTTTTGAAGTTTAAAGAATTTTAAACATCTAATGGCCCACATTAGATAGTATAATAGTTTGTGAACTCATGACACCCATTAAATGCATAATATACTAACTAATGTTCTCAGAGCTCAGTATGTTTCTAAATTAAACACCATCAACAGCTGTCTCAGAGGAATAAGAATTGTCTGGGATCCATGTCTCCCCTGCTTTCTCTGCTACCTGTGTCATGCTGAAATTGTCAATATCTTCTCTGAGACTTCACGAACGAAAATGGTAGAAGAGGAAGCTAATGTTTACTGAGAATCTGCCTGGTGTAAGAGAACTGGATTAGATATTTCATATTCTTTATCTCATGTTAATCTTCATAAAAAGTTTATAAGATCGGTGTCATTATTCCCATTTTGTAAGTGAAGAAACTGATGCTTGGACAGATGATGAAATGTGCCTGAAAGTCATTCATCTGTGAGTGACAAAATCCATATTCAATGCCAGGGCCCAAGCTCTTTCCAGCACATTTCAATATCCTGGCTCATAAAAAGACAACTGGCTAAAAAATAGAGTTTTACTTATATTTCACAAGTTTTTCTTTTTTCACTAAACACATTGAAGGTAAAGAGATTTGTCTTCTGGATTGATGCAAAAAACTATACTTAAATGAAACTATACTTTAAAAAATAAAATATCCATTTTTTCAGTTCCCTGCTCTGAGAGGTCATTGGATTGTTTTTTTGTTTGTTTTGGTTTTTAACAAGGAAAACATACTTTCCAGTGTGGAAAAGCATATGAGAATAAAAATATAATAGGTGGAAGTGACTCTACAAACTGAAAGCAAGTTTTATTATGCATGATAAAAGGAGTTATTTGAAGTCTTTTAAAATATCTAAAACATCATGTGTCAAAGAATTCCTGGTATATTGTAGACAAGCAATACTTTTTTTGTAGAATGAATGAATACCTTTTGATATCAGCATCAACTGATGGTTGAGGGCAGATTGGCGAATTTCAAATTCTAATTTGAAGTACTGGAGCATATCTTAATAGGAATGTCAAAGCAATGATGTTTTGATCATTTTGTTTTATATTTCTTGAAGATAAACTTAAGAAAAATAAATCAAGGGCATTCATGTTTCTTTTCTAGTGTTCAGTTTCGTGTGGTAAAGGGATAAAGTACCGTGATGTGCTTTGCATTGACAAATTCCAAGGGAAATTAGAAGAAAAATATTGTAGCCATCTGCAGAAACCTCGAACTCACAAAGTTTGTAGATCTATCAGATGCCCTTCATGGAAAGCCAATAGATGGAAGGAGGTATGTGATGAATTTTATAATTATAAAATTATTTTTTGCATTTTAAAATCTTAATTTATTCTGTTTCCTATAACCTTGAAAGTTTTTTTCTTTAAAGTGTACTTTATTCTGTTATTGAATTTTCTGCACTATAATCTAAATTAACACTGTACAGTATTAAATGCATTTGTTTAAGTCTACAGTTAAATAACTAATTAGTTATTTGATTTGTCTGTGGCTATAAATTTTACAAGGCATTCTGTTTCTGAATATTAGAGGGACAACTACTGATAATCATCTTGGTAGTCTAGCAGCAAGATATATGTGTTGCTGTGGTTGCATTTAGTAATGACCTTATTTCCATCCCCAAAAGCTTGGATTTCAGCTTAGACTGCATCTTGTAGAAGTGACTGGTAAATTGCAGACAGGATTGGAAATTGATAATTAGGGAGGAGTGAAAATTAGATAACCTAGGCTGGGCTGAGATTAGAGTAGAAAGACTCCTGGGTGAAGTGAAGCTCACAAATAAATGAGGCCCAGGCTGAGAATTCATTTGTAAAAGAAGGGTGATTGATAACCTGCCCTGACTTCCTCAGGGAAGAGAGCGCAAAATCTGAATTGGAGGAGTCATACATCTGAAAGTGGTTGTCAAGCAAACACCAGCTTGGCAAATATTGATGGGACAAAAGCCATGAACAAGATAAAAATGTTAAATGGAATAATTTCCAGAGGGCTGATTGCCTTGCGCTGGGCTTTTAACAGAGTCCTCTGGTTGCTCCCAGAGTACCTACAATTGCTTATCCATTTCTTAAAGAGACTAGTTCTGAAAATAAAAAAAGAAACCTATGTTCTCTGCGTGGAACTTCCTTCTGTCAGATGCTGAAGTTAAGTAGTTAAGTCCATTGAAAACAAGGACAGAAGACAGCAGCTAGAGGGTATGGGGTTCCCCTGGGCTCCCAAGTCATCACCGTTTTTCCTAAGCTAATACCACAATATGGGGCACTCAGCTTTTGAATGGTACTATGCCAGTTCATCATCCATATTGAATAAAAAGTTCTCATAGTGAGAAAAAGTCTCAAATTTCCTTGTAGAAGATGCAGCCTCTGCCAAGCATTAGCGTGCTGGAAATTGTGGCTGATGTTTGACTGAACCCTCCGTTTTTCATTCCACAAAAAGAGACATATTCTTGAGCATTTCCTTCTACATTAAATTTTGGTCAAGTAACTAGATTATTTTTCTCTCTTTAGAAGAGACTATGATTTAAAAAGTTCTCCTCATTGACTTGCTACAATTAATTAACCTGCTATATTTAATGTCATTAATATTTACAGAGTTGTTCCAGAACTAGATCCATCTTATCTCTCTTACTTTGCTCCCACTATGTGTCTGTGGTTCAATAGGTTGTCTCAATTCTCTTGTCAAAGCAACTTTTGAATCTCCATGGCCACCACCCTGCTCTTGTTCAATGGTTAATTTATGTGTTCCCAGGTCTCCAATGACCTCCCCCCACATACTTTGGCCACTATATACCTTCATATTTTGTGAACTCCAGAACTCAAATATACTTGTGCCACTTAATATCTTCTATGACTTATATTGCCTTCAAGCAGAAAGTCTAAAACTTAATCGTGGTTTTTCTTTAGAATTATATCAGACCACTATCTTTTTCTCTCTTAGAGACAATGGATATTTTTTTCACTAAGCACCTAACTTCATACATAGCTAAATACTTCTTATTTTGAATACTTCCATTTAATTGCAAAGGATCTCAACATCTCTTATTATTTTTGTCATATTGTGGTTGTACTTAAAGTAGAGGGCCACCTTACTTTCTCTGGACCAGTGTGGCAGAATAATGTTAAAGCAACTTTCTCTGAGGCGAAATGCCAAAAGGGCACTGGATGTGAAAAGTTGCAGATGCACCAGGTGACAACAGGTAGCTCCAAATTCTGACATCAGGCAGGAGCCACGAGCAGGGTGGGGATGGGGGTTTGCAGTGAAACTGGAAGAGACATTGCTTCTTGACCATATTCCTATGGATCCCAAGGGTGCTTTTGCTGCTATGCAGCTGCTGTAGCTGCTGTGATTGATATTCATGAAGGACACTTTCTGGCCTTTGACCTCCAGCCCCACGACAGTGAATCCATCATTAGTCCTAACAGATTGGCCTTGGCTTACCACCAAACATGAAATTGTACAAGATCCACTAAAGGAATGTATTTCAGAAATTTCAAAGATACAGATTTGAACATGCATAGATTGTAAAAGAGAGGCTTTTGTACTGAGTCTGCTTTCTCCTCTTTACATTGGTTTTCCTTGTCATAGAAATTAGCTTCATTCACCCACACTGTCCTTAAATCTCTGCCAGAAACAAATGACCACTTGTAAAGTCCTTGGCTTTTGATTTATTCTAGAAAAAGTACCCATATGAAGTCACAATTGCAGGCTGTCACTGCACTACATATAATATTATATTCAACTGAAGTGTAATTTCAGAGGTGGTTACAAGAAAATCACTGGTTGCTGCTTTGTTCTGCTTGTATAAATTGCTAACATTGCTTTAATAAAATCACCTGCTATAAAATAATTCCATTCATTACCATTTACATGAGGCTTTAAGTGGAAAGGCTCATTTGGTAAATTGTTGATCAAAAAGGTACTCAAATGAGTTTGAAGAGATACTTTTCATTTGGTGTTTGATATCCTTTTTCTTTAATGTAATGAATTTTAATGACAATTGCTAAACAAGAACAAACATTGCTATACAAGACCATTTGTCTTCTGTGTCCAGATGTGTATCTTTAGAGGCAAATCAAATAAGTCCTAAAAAAAAAGACCTTCACAAACAAGGGGATGTTTTTATCATGTATGTATTTGAGAATATCAGCTCCCTTTTTAAGTTCAAGGTGAGAATACCACTAGATTTTTTCGTGTCTCAGGCCTCACCTACTAAGTTAAGTGTTGACAAAATGAATAGTCCCTATGTTTGGGGACAAAAAACAAAAAAACAAAACATGTCTTGAATTCTTACCTTCCCTTGATCAGGCTGAACCTGCTGGATAATTTAGAAAAGAATGAGAGGCTCATTCAATCTTATTCAATCTTGAGCCAAATGGAATCAGCCACTTGCCTCATTCCCCTTCTCTGAAATCATATTTTCTCTCTCACATTTTAAGGTCAGAGCTGGGGCCAAAGATGCTAATAAGTTCCCAAATCCCATGAATCTATCTAGTACCTCCCACCTGAAGCCCCTAATTTGGACAAATTAAAACTATATGCTAAATGCTGGATTTTAAGTGATTTTGTATTTAATTCCATATTTTCTATGTCTCCAAATGCATGTCTATTTCCATATTTTCAAAAATTTCTCAGATATGCATTTATATTTTATAATTTTAAAATAATCATATATATATATATATATATATATATATATATATATATATATATATATAAATCATTGATGGACCTTTATTTTATTTATATGTGGTGCTGAGAATTGAGCCCAGTGCCTCACACATGTGAGGCAAATGCTCTACCACTGAGCCACAACCCCAGTCCTAAAAATAATTAATCTTAATATTTTTCAAGTCCCTAGTGCCATCAAGGAAGGATCCAGAATACCTTCATCTCTGTCTTCAGGGTATTCAGTGATGTGTCCACTAAGGCAGGCAGGCTGGGTACAATTTCAGAAAGGGATGCCGTCCCTCCTCTGGGGCTGGGTGCTATGGTTCTCAGTCTTCTGTTTTTGCATTTCAATGCTGCTTGTCAACTCTCTTTCTTTATCATTTTTCTTAAAATTTAAGATGGCTTCTGAATGACTGAGATGAGGTATATATCAATGAATTTTTCAATGCAGAAATAATTGTACTTCAGCAAGAAAAGTGAAGCAAAAAAGAGTAGGGGGGGAGGGAGGAGTCAGGGACAGTCACTCCCTTCCTGACAATGTATGAGAAGCTTCTCTATTTCTCACAACAGTATACTGGAGGTTAATGCATCCATTATGCGGATGAAAAAACAAGTAGCGTGTGCAGGTCACAGGCCAGGAAATATTGGGGGATAGAAATCTGAACACAGATCTATTTGAGCTTTTCCCACTGGGTTTGCTATCATAATTATTTCATTATTATCATTGTATCTTAGCTTATCCTTATATTTCCTTAATAATATATTGTCCTCTCTGGCCAAGAAGGGCATAGTTTCAATAATTGTAGGCTCTTACTGTACTACATAGTAATTTATTCAGTAGAAATGTAATATATGCTGTGCTAAATTTATTGCAAGCTTATTCATGTAAAAAAATGCTATTTCTTAAATGAAAAATATATAATAATTTTATATGCATAGGAAACTGAGGATTTAGTTGATCACATATGTTAAATAAACTGTAATGACTTAAATGACTAGAAGCACATTAGGCTATATATTTTTTTTTTAATTTTTTATTGTGGGTTGTTCAAAACATTACAAATTTCTTGACATATCATATTCCACACTTTGATTCAAGTGGGTTATGAACTCCCACCTTCACCCCATACACAGATTGCAGAATCACATCAGTTACACATCCATTGATTTACATATTGCCATACTAGTGTCTGTTGTGCTCCGCTGCCTTTCCCATCCTCCACCCTCCCCCCTCCCCACCTCTCCCCTCCCCTCCCCTCCTCTCTCTCTACCCCCTCCACTGTATAACCCTGAGGGTCTCCTTCCATTACCATGCAATTTCCCTTCTCTCTCCCTTTCCCTCCCACCTCTCATCCCTGTTAAATGTTAATCTTTTTTTTTTTTAATTTTTTTTATTGGTTGTTCAAAACATTATAAAGCTCTTGACATATCATATTTCATACATTAGATTCCAGTTGGTTATGAACTCCCAATTTTACCCCAAATACAGATTGCAGAATCACATCGGTTACACATCCACATTTTTACATAATGCCCTATTAGTAACTGTTGTATTCTGCTACCTTTCCTATCCTCTACCATCCCCCCTCCCTCCCCTCCCATCTTCTCTCTCT